ACTCAATGCTCTCTGCTTTGCACAGCTTGGGCAATGCGGTCACGGCTGCACCTGTATCATAATTCAAGCGAAGCCAACCATCACACAAGTCCGAACTCAAATGGCACAAATCCAGTCCACCTGCTTCGGCTTCCTTCTCCGGCTCATGGTTCAGAGAACTGACTCGACGAGAATCAGAACCTTTTCCACCGCCCTTGCCTTTTCCTCCGGCCTTGCTCCAACAGTCCTTCCCCTTGTGACCTTCTTTGCCAAGACTGTCGTTGCAACGACCTTGGAACCACGACGACCGCGAGGTGCTCCTGGATGATGAGCCTTTGCCCTTACCTTTCGACTGATTGTCTGCGCCTTTCCCTTTGCTCTTCGACTTGCTCCAACAATCCTTAGCCAGATGATTGGTCTTGCCACATAAGTAACAAGCCTTGCTGGTGTCATTCTTGCCCTTGCCACCAGCTTTGCTTTTTCCACCCTTGGAGTCTTTGATCAAAGCCCCAATGTCCTTGATGCCCTTCACCGCATCAACTAATGCCCCAACACCCATGGGAACTGCTTGCTGATGGTCATCTTGGCACCTGTCTTGGCCCCAACAAACACTCTGGTCATAGGTTTTGAAGCGAGCATAGCTCAATTGAAGATGCTGTTCCAACTCCTTGGGAACCAACTTCTCCAAGGCGTTCATCGCCAAACTCTCAGGAAGCTCCTCACGCTTCCCAAACTGATCCTTTTTCCTGTTGTATCGAGCTCGCAGGGCTCGTCATCGCTCCCACCGGCCAAAGTCTCATAGGTTGTTCTATCCGGAGTGGTGAGAGCGTTCAGCATCACGCGTTTCCTCCCACCTGTGGCCGGATCATACTTCCGGCGCAGCAACCTCCAAGCTTCAAGCCCACTGTTGCTCGACGTGTTGTCGACTAGATCAAAGGGTCCAAACACTCCACCAACATAGTCTTCAAGTTTGATGCTCCACAACCTAAAACGTTGCTCTGCCTGTTCGTCTCCAAGAGTTTGCGGCTTTCCAAAACCTTTGCTATCCCCCGATGGGTTTGAGGGCTTCTGGAATCATTCGAAGAACATCCATGCTCTCTGCTCTCTCCTGTCTCAAGGCCTCATTCACGGCCGCAACTGAACGAAACTCAATTTCAGCCTGTTGCAACCTCTGTGTCAATGCTGTATTTGCATCACGCATCTGCCGATTATCATTCAAGCTCTGCTGCAACTGTTCCTGCAACCTAGCCTGCCCTTGCTGCAAATTCCGAATTGCTTGCATCAACTGTTGTGCATTCATCCCTCCATCTGGCTGTGCCATGTGGGAATCACCAGCAACAACGTCCACAATGCAACACCGATCTTACCAAACAACCGATCAACGACACGTCCAACGCACCTGAAAACAATGTAAATGCACAAGATCCAATTTTGCGCCAGCTGTTCAACAATGTACGACCCACTCCGATCAAATTCACCACAACTGCAAGAGTCAAGTTCAACACTGAAGCTGCTCCTCCTGCGAACGAACGTCCCTCTAAGTGGATCCGGTTGGTCACTGCAGCCAAACCTGTCTGGGCTGCAGTGCCACGGCACGCTACCATGCACGTGTGGCTTTTTAGCCCAATACGCTCGCGACCGCTCCTTTTTCCTTTGGGCCTACATGAGCAATTGGTAACATGCTATGGTTCCACAGCTTCAGATTCACCACACACACATAAATATTACATAACTATATAATATATATATAGATAGTGATGCCAACACCCACACTTTTCTGGGGTGAGACGGTTCATCACAACAACCAACTCCATCACTTGACCAACTTCATCAACCACTGACCACAATAGGAGATGTTGATTCCGTGAAGTCAAGTTCGGATGGTTGCATGGCAACAACACTGCATGGACATCGTGCTTCATGGCTTCCACGGGCCAGCCATCCCCAAGAAATTACAGTAGGCGGAAAAAAAAACACAAGCATTTCAACCCCCCACCTTGCCCTCAGTCAGGCAAAAGTCGAACAAGGCATAGTTCAACAGGAGGCTGTTCAACACCACACGGTGGAAGTCCAGCCACACGATGGAAGCCAGAACGTACCAAAGCTTTGCTCCGCGGCGTGCCAACAGCAGCATGCCGAAGCGCCACACTAATCGCAGTCGCTCCAAGCGGCGGCGGCGGCGTGGGCCCTGCTCCACTCGGCGTGACATGGATTTTCCTAAAATAGGCAACCTTTAAGACTTTGAGACGCTGTCGACTTGTAGGGAGTGGGGGGCTGGTTATCTTACTGTCTTACTGTTCGTCCAAACCGTTTCATCAATGAATCCCCCTCAAGACGAATCCCCCTCAAGCGGCCAGCTACAGCACCTACTGGACATCCGCCACTCCAAGCGTCCTTCTTGAGGGCGTCTTCCACACGCACGTCTTCTTGCCGCACTCCCGGCGGCCAAAGCCCCTCTGGCAGCAGCCGGATTCGCACGAAAGAAGAGCTGCCCATGGTGGCCTTCCCGTGAATCGCCTTGGGCATTTACACATGGCACTGCACCCTACACCCATTATCATCCAGCACAGGTTGCATGAGAACACCACCTACCAATCTGCGTGTTTAATAAGGCATGGCTTGGCATCTACACCCGTGCTTTGGCATAAGATTCTCACATCGAAAGCCACCCATCTTGCCTCCACGTGGGCCACAAAGAAGCGATGAGAAATGCCTGAACCTCGAACCGGCAGCAGCTCCACTTGGAAAGTCGCTGTCGCCACATTGGGCGCAAAAACCACCGTTTGCTTCGCTGAAGTGTAGCTGTGACCAGCATAGGCCGTTCCATCCACTGTCGCCAAGTCAGCGCTTGCTTCACTGGAAAGGTTGCCCACACGGATGAGGACGATCTCAGCCACGTTCATACCAGGATGGACTGTAAGTGTATGGTGTGCAAAGAATATCACTGAACCATCTAACTTGGGCACAAAACCCATTGGCCCCGCAGAAGATTCCTCCACGTCCCACAGAGTGGCACCCTCAGAATCGTCAAATTCACGGGAGAAAGTGCGAGGGCACCAAAAGTGTGTCGCGGGACGAAGCATGGTGAACTCGTCCATCTTGTGATAGAGGATTGATGCAACAGCTCCTCGCTTCTCTGCCTGTGTGAGTTTTCGCTGACGACACAGAAAGAAGTTCCGAAGTTCTGCCAGAATCGTAGGGCGATCATTTGAGAAGACTGTGCAGAAGGCTTCCCACAGAAGCACAATTCCAACCTGAGCAATCACAAAGAGAGACCATGTAATTAATGTAATCGGACAGCAAGCTGAAAGAGGGCTTTGGGACCAAGTTTCGGTCCGATACCCTTACATCAATGAATCTATATACATATATATATATATGGGAATGTGTTTGCCGTTCCCGGGCCGGGATGTTTGACTATGAGGTATGCTTCGGGGTATGCTTCGTGCGGTGCGAAGACTGAAGTAATTGGTAGCATTTTCAGAGGGTATGCTTCCTAAACTTGGCTCGTTAAAACAAATACAAACCAATATTATCTCTCTAACACAGTCACAGCAAGTCGCAAATGTCCAAGGTTCTTGGCGTGATCCAATTCAGCTTTTTCCAAAAAGGCCAAGCTACAGCCTCCTAAGCTCGTGCACCCACAAACATTTTTACGCTCTCTCCACCGGCATGTCTCGTCTGTGTGCGAGATGTCGATCTGTGTCCCAGAAGTCGACGGGTGCAATCTAGAATTTAATTCCTAAACAAAGGCTCACGAACTTCGGAAGAACCTGGAAGTGAGGTTCAATGAGCCTACTGTGCAATGCCCTGTGCCAAGTGCACACAGCAGAAAGCGCCAGGCTTCAGGGCAGACATGGCATTCAAAGTTGCCCACGCGTCATTACCCTGACACCCTGGCTACGATGGAGCTTTAATTGAGCTTCCATCCCTCTCCCTCCTTTCAGGGAACAGCTGTAAATACTGGTGGCCCACGTTCTGCTTGTCCAAGACTCGGCCCCACCGTGTCAGCCCCGTCCCCGACCCTGTGGTCCACTTGGCCACAACTGTTTGCACGAATGTCGACGCTCAATCCTGCCCAGGCGGCCCCAGCCAAGGCCCCGGGAGTACCTCCAGCAGACCCCCGAGCAAGAATCGCCAGCGCGTCACCAGCCAGGCGACTGGCAGCACTAGTGACACTGGGAGTGCCGCTCCCTGGTCGGCCAGCTCCATTCCATTGGCACTCACCTCCTTCCTTCGAGCAAAGGACTTCCTTTGAGGAGGCATCACCCATTTTGTGAAGGAGTTCCCGATCTTTGCGGCAAAGTGTCTTGGGCCAACAGCTAAGAAATCACAAAGCAAAGAATTGCCCTGCCAGCCTGCCAGCCTGTCAGCCTCACCTTGAAAAAAGAAAGGACATGAAAGGACCATGGTGACAGTGTTCCTGCCCTTGTTATTACACCACATTACCGCCAAGAAGCCCCAATGAATACTGCCACGCCCTTGGAAGCCATTGGTTCCCGAACTTCGGGCAGAAAGCTTGACCAGCAGGTTGGCGTTGCAAAGAATGCCCACAGCACCTTAGAACACAAGGCATCCAAAGCATCGATGGCCAAATGATGTGCAACTAAAACACCAAACCTCTAGATAGAATGTGCAAATGACTCATCAAGAATGAGCTCTCCCTCATGCTGGTTTCGCACCAAGTCACTAGAACCCAAATCCCAACACGCCGCCTTTGCCACATAAGGGGCACTGCGACAAGCGAAGCCATGCGTGGCATCGCCAGGGCACAAATAGCTGCAGAGTCGGAAACATTGGGCTGGATGCACAAGCAACCCCATATGGCTAGGGCAAAAGCTCCTGCACCTGCCTGTTGCATGCCTAGCTCAGCGCAAAACTTCCACATTTCCCTTCAGTCATAAAACAATTTGCAAGTGCTTTTCTCACTGCTCATGTTTCCTCAACCTATCTTAAACCTGGAGGGCATGCAGCCTCTTGCACTTCCTATCAGCGGGGCTGCGAATGTCTGAGGAGCGGACCGACATGGCTTCAGACATACTGGGTGGAGGTATAGGGTGACCTTTGCACTAAAGACTGGGCATCTTGTGGTCTTGGGAATGGACATGGACTGTGTATGTGCGCACACGCAAGTGTCAGTGTGGCACATCTCTGATGGACATAGAGCAGCTATAAATGTCTGCAAATGAAAGTCTGAAAAATCCCTGCTCCAAGCTTGTCAACTTCTTCCATACATCAGTCACGGAAGTTCAAGCCACATTTTTGGGTCCCCAAAGCTAGCCGGCTATCTCAGGGTCACGCTGGCCTTACTGAGCCAAGGATGCTTCGGTCTTCTCTGCAACTGAGGCCGCGACCTCATACTCTTTGGGGGTGAGAAGCCGCCAGCCACCACCGCCCAGCAACTCCAGCACCACCTGCGCGACGCGAGCTGTGCGAGTTCCACCAATCATGTGTCACACCTCTTCGTCAATGCTGCACAAAGCAAAGCAGGACAACCTTCCATCGACCTAATACACACCTGAGAGGGGAGGGGACGAAAGCCAGCCCTTGTAAACACTGAGAAGAACAAGAACGAAATGACGTTGTAATTGGTGTTCGTCAGCTAGGTCGTGGTGTCCGTAACTGGAAGTTGTTGCCTTCCTGCAGCTTGCAAGGGTAGATTGTCTTCACAGCAGCGCAAACATAGTCTTTCAACATATTTGTTTTGCAACTGCTGGGGGGGAGCAGGCCAGATCCGAGAAGATAGCGCTCCTGTGCTGGTGCGGCTGAAAAGGGCACCCCGGCACATGGCCTTTTTCTTGAGTCCGTTGGTCACGATGAGTTCCGGTGCTCTATGTCCACTTGAGTGGCATCATGGCAACTTTGTGATGCAAAAAGATCCCTCCAGGTCGGAAACAGAACGTGTAGTTGTGTGCATTTGGAAAACATGAGGAAACCACCCAAACGACAAAATCCCGGTAAAAACCCACATGTTTTATGTCATCATTTGTCAGCTTTATGTCAATATTTGTCATCTATGCACGGAGCCTGACTGGGTGCCCTACGGGACCCTGTGCTTTGCAGTGATTTCTATTTGTTTTTCCAAACTTCAGGGTGTCGCTTCGCAAGTGCTTTTTGAGAAGTCCCATAGGAAATGCAACGCAAAGTTCACGCGTTTGTTCGCTGCCGTTTTCACATGTCCTGCGGACAGTTGTTTGCCGAACAGTGACATCAGGTCCTTCGAACCTGTGCGCATGAAGCGCCACTGCCAAGACTGAATCCTTCGCTCAATGAGGAAAGCTTTCGAAGAGAGCGACTTTGGTACATCTTCTGTCGTCACATCAACAACTCATCACCATCGTGTTCTACTGATCACACGAACGAAACCAGCCCCCCCGAACCTCCCGTAGTATCTTCTGTCGTCACACCAACAACTCATCACCATCGTGTTCTACTGGACACTGGTCACATGAACGAAACCAGCCCCCCCTGTTTTCTTGTTTTTGGGCCTGAACAAAAATTCATATCAATCAAGAAAGACCTGGCAGATCCTGGCAGGATGCTCCTATAGCATCTTCGAATATGAGATCAACACCAGGTCCCCACACAAACATCCGAATCTTCTCGCATACCGGGAATCATATGAAGGCCGCACCGAGATGCAAAGAGTTTAGTTTTCATGAAGTCCGGAAGTTGGAAGTCCCAAGGGACCGTTCTCAAATGTTCTCAAGGAAACTGAACGGTTCAAGCACTTCATCAATTCAGATCTTCTCCTGCCGGACTCCGACTGGTATGTTCAGCCCGAATACACTGATCGGAATACAAAAACCCGATCCAAGACCGGAATGCAGCAACGCATCAACCGGCATAGGGCTGACACGTCACGAGGCCGATCTACCGCGGTGGCCGTTGGGTCCGGAAGGACGATCCCCGAGATGCTCGGCAAAAGCTGATGCGGATGTTTCTGTCTTTTCCACGTTTTTCGTCTAACGGTCGTAATTCAGTAGATGAACCTTCGTGCATGGCAGCATTGTACAGTTTTCGTCTTGCAGCCTTCCCTGTACATAGCACTGAGACCAGCACGCTTCACAACAAAGAAAATTTGTGTCTGTTCTGTTTCTTGTTTTTGGGCACCTGTTTATGCCGTTGCTTCAACTTGGTTCCTGCTATGTAATGCTCTTACGCAATGCGTCCAACGCCATAACATTTGTTTGGCTCAAGGTTCCTATTGTGCGATAGAAAAGCCGCTTTACTCGCCTTCGTTCGCACGCTCTTGTGAACTTGTCACGCTGTGAGTTGATCCAGGTCCATTACTGCTTATCACACTCCACTGCAGGGGATTCCACCCTCACCCCCCCAAAACCCCCCCGAACCTCTCGTAGTATCTTCTGTCGTCACAACAACAACTCATCACCATCATGTCTTACTGATCACACGAACGAAACCAACCCCCCCAAATCCCCCCGACCCGAACCTCCCGTAGTATCTTCTGTCGTCACATCAAAAACCTCATCAACAGTTCATCATCATCATCATCTTTCTTTCATACGCTCTTCAGTCGAAGATCGCGTGGACCTGTTAGTCCATCTGGTGCCCCGTGGGGCCGAAACCTCAGCTAAAGGTCTGGTCCAACAGCCGAGCGAGAGTCAATGCTCTGGCTGTTTCAATCTGATGGGACCACAACTGCAAATGCAATATGGCGAACTGCCGCAGGCATGGGCAAACATGGTCTTCTTCAAGACCGGTGCCAAAGAAGGGCTGACAAACGCACCACCGCGTTGGGTGGGCGTGTGAAATAAAGCTCACTGCACTCTTCTCCGCCAAGGGGGCAGCCTCGTTCCACCAGGTTCTATGTGCCACTTGCAGGTGCCCATTCATGTCCCTAGGCCAGCTGCCGCAGGTGATGCATTTCACAAGTCGGTGGCAGAGGCTGGGATTGTCCACAAGGATCTTGGTGTCCAGGAGATCGAGGCTGCGAAGCCATGCTCCATGCCAGTTATCGTTGATAGTCGGGTCATGGATGATGTTGTGCATCTTCTCCTTCTCGGTCAGGATGGGTGATTCATCTGCCATCTTTGCCACCTCGTCTGCTCCACCGTGCGGAGTGCAGTTCAGCCAAGGCAGGCAGCTGTTTTCTTGAGCCACCAGCGGTAGTGCCGAGAACTTG